TTTTGTTTCTTTTTTAACTTTAGGGGCTCAAAAATTTTTTTTTTTTTTTTTTTTTTTTTTTTTTTTTTGAAAACTTCTGAGACTAATCTCAAAATTTCAGAGTTTTTTTTATCCCTCCTTTTTTCGTTGCCCCGTCTCGGCTTTCTTCCAATCAAATATATTTCTCTGGTATAATTTCTACTGGGCCAATCAGTGAACAGGAGAAGTCGTGACGATGACGTCGATTTCCTGCGGCGCTTTAGAATTGTAGTCTGTGTAGTTTTAGCAATAGCATCGGATAAGTGAACAAACCCGAACAAAGTCCGTGGTGGCCAAACTTCCAAATACTGAATTAACATTAATTGCCATCTTATCCGAGCTTAGCAGTTCTATTTTTTCAGTGGACAGTGCCTATTTATTTACAAAGTCGGCAATTTCCGGTAAGCTAGCGCCTTACATAGGTCACGTGCAAACGTTAGCCATCGTTTCTAAATAGTCGAGAGTTGGGACACTCTGAACGAAGCTATAAGCTTAGAGGAAGAGGCCGATTTTTGCTAAACTAGCTGTGACTCACCGTGTACCCAGCTCTGCTGCTCAGGTGCTCAGCAGCGACCAGCAGGGCGTTCAGCGTCGCCCCTCCGCTGCCCGGCGGCTCCTGGCGGTCCCTCACGGTCAAAAGCAACGCATTCCCAGCTAAGGTGCCGCGTTTCTGCCGCAACTCCAACTCTTCACACACAAGAGCACAAAATATTGGAAATCTGAATACTGCAACACCTCTGGATGCTGTGAATTAGTTAGTGTATCTGCTTTATCATTTTACTTTGGATTAGCGCTGAAAAAGTTAATCAGTTTGACGTGTTTATTGAAATAATCGTCAACTAATTTAATAGCCGATTAATAGTTAACTGGAGCACAGACTCAAAAAAGGCAATTTCCAGAAAGAAAAAAAGCATATTCAGAGCAGTAATTAAGTCAAAACTGTACAAAAAATATATACATTTTGCATTTAAGATCAAGAATTTTTTTGTAAATATGTGACAAAGTTTTAACTTCATCTGGCTTAAATTCTGTAAATAAAAGAAATCCAATTGAGCAAATATTGATTAGTTAATCCAAAAATTGGTCTTATATTTGTTGACTGTATAAATAAAAACTCACTGTAGCTAATCACTCCTGAGGTTCAGTTTAAACAGTTAAATTTGTAAAAGAAAAAAAAAAAGTTTATCTTATTTGACTTACTATTTTAATTCAGTAACTTTATAAATAACAAAAAATACCCCAAACTACAATGACGCTCTAGTTTCACCCTTGGCACTAATTTAATCTCATCTTTGTCTTTTGTAAAACGATCATATAGTTAAGAGCATATCCATTTCGTACATCAGCGACACCCTCAGGTCGACTGATGCAACTGCACAATATAAAGATTCCTCTAAGATCGTAAATTGAACAGATGCTTCTCACCTCTCTGGAAAGCGTACACACTGTCTTTGTGTTGGCAGGTAAGGACGACCACCGTCCACGGAAAGTCGCCTTTCCGCGACATCTTCCCCCGGTTAAAGTGGACACAACAGAAGTTGTTTGACTGGTTTAACTACCAATCCTTAAGCAAACTGCGCACGAAGAAGCATCAACGACTAGTTAACCAAACTAGCAAAAGCGGGGCGGGTTAGAGGATCTTCAGGAGGAATAAAGTAAAACCAACACCTGTCGGCATTAAACGCGTTCATTTTTAGATATTGTTAAAATGCAGCGACTCTTAAAAAGAGTATAAATCTGATCCATGGCGTCTGTTTAACCCTTGCCCATTTGTATCGGAATAGCATGACTGCGCGGGCTTCCGTAAGGGTTTGTTTTCTACTACCTGCCCGTCCGTTGGGGCGGTGTATCAAAGTAAAAAAGCGCCTTCAGTTCAGTTTAATGGGGAAAATTTAATCAAACTAATGAGACATCTATTTCCTTAAACTTTTTTACTTGCAGGCTAATCTAATTACTTAATTCAATTCTGCACACAAAACAGCTTTCCAAAATTAAAGTGTCTTTAATTGCATAAGCAACTTAAAATCTCACTTGATTTCATGTAATTCTTCTGGAATGAAGTCCAAGAACTGAACAAACATGCGCTAATCAGGATTAGGTCCACAGATTATTCAGCATGTCTGAGAAAATACCACATTAGTAAAAATTTGAGACCACTCATAAGACATTCAGTTAATATTTAATAGAAAAAAAAGCCAAGAAGTCAAGCCACAAATCATAATCCTGACTCTCCAGGATGTAAAAATAAACAGTTAAAACATGTTTAATGAGCTATACAACAGAATTCAGTAGTATTTATATACACATATACATTAAAATTCGTTCCTGGGTAGAGACACATGGCATGCTCAGTCATCTTCCTCATCCTCGGCAGGCAGAGGTCTGGACCTGAGCAAAACAAAGACGTATGAGATTAAACTGAGAACTAGACCAAAAACCACCTGCTGGAGTTTCATTCTGTGAGAAAGATTGCCAATCATCTGAAAAGAGAGTAATCAAAATGTGTTGGAAAGATGGAGATCAAATGAAGAAAAATAATCTTTTTTTTCACCCACATGTTGGAAAAACGTGAGGAAAGAAACATTTGCTCATTTACGTTTTTGCTCAAAGGAAAAGAGGGGAAAAAAACCCATCCAGAAGTTAAGGCTTTCCAGAGTAATTCAGATTTCTCAGTAAAAAAAGCAACCATATCACTGACATACCGATGTTAACAGCATTATATTGTGCATCCCAAATCTCAGCAGAGGTTAAATCAAAAAAAAAAAATAAAATGGTTGGAATCCAAACAAAAACACAATCCTCATCAAATCAAACCTCATTAACACCAGGGTTTGTACTTTTCTTACACTTAAATTTAAGCAGTTGAAATTTCCCACCACACATTTGGGATAAAAATAAAACAAATGAACTAAAAAATAAATAAATTCACTAGTATGTCATTTATTACTGTTGTTGACGTCTTGTGATGGTATCCGACATTCTGCAGCAACTAAAATAGAACAAAATTGTATGTCTCGCATATGGTTTGGTCATTCTACCTGACCTAATACAGGATAAGTTTAATCTGATTTAACTTCAGACAGAGACAGAAAAAGTTTGTCTTTTTATTATAAAAATGTCTACTCAACTGTAGATGAAGTCTAATTTTAGGCTTTCGGGCTGCACTGATTGCAGTTTTATGGACGATTTTTAAAAAAGCACCTTCCAAATACCAAATTGAAATGCAAGCATTTCAAGGATTTCAATCACCTGTACGACCTCTGAAACGCACAAACCATTTTACCTGAAGTAAACATCTCAAATGAATGAATGCTCAAACTTTACAAAAAAGCTCTGCAACGTGTTAAAATCTGTAGTCGATATGAAACACGCCTCTAACTGCAGTTGTATCGCATCTCAATGTTTTTAAACGGTGAGGATAAAATCAGTCAGCTCAGCATCGTCTTTATCTGCCAACTCAGAAATCTGACCGGATACCAATCTACGGTTTCAACAAACATACTTCCTGCTGGCCTTCGACATGCCGCTGCCGCCGGCCTCCTCTTCATCAGACTCTGTGGGTTTCTGGTTCTCCTTCTCGGGCTTTCTAGGCGGCCCGCCAAAGAAATCCCCGATGCCTTTCTGCCAGGTGGGGGTCGGGCGGGGACACACGGGGTTCCCGCCGGCATATTTGTTCTTTGCTGTGGAACAAACTTCAGTGTCAGTTGCGTCATGTACAGTCGGCGTTCAGCTGTGACTGGGTGAACTCGGACTGACCCGGGTTGGACGAGTGGCCGTTGGACAACGACGACGCGTTGGCTGAACTGGAGCCCAGTGACTTACGAGGCGCAGACGCTGCAACAGCTGGAAAATAAGATGCGACAGACTGATGAGACAGAGAGAGAAACACACTTGGAAGAACCACCTCATGTATTTCTCTTGATTATGATGCAAAAATTGCAAATGGATACAGTTTTATTCTCGAAAATAGAAACATTTTGAAACAATTTAGATATTTTCAGGATTTCATCGTCACATGGTTATGCATTTTATAACTTTCAAGAATATTTCCTATATTCTTGGTACAGAACCTGCATTACTGAAATGACTGGTGATTATTAACCAATTAACTGAAGAACTAAGAGTTACATTTCACTCAAAAATAGGGGAACATAGTTGCTTTTCCATCATTTCATTTTTTTTTCTATAGTTCCAGACCAGGAAAATCCTTCAAGCAATTTCCATACTTTTGTGAATGAAACTATGTAACCATAACTAAAGCCTGAGCATTTATGCGCAACAGCTCTGTATATATCAGATTTATAAAAGGTATTGATCAAATTATACAGTTTAAACATACTAAATAAGTGAAAATGAGATTTATTTTTACGCCGAATTTGCAAAAACATTTAATAAAATAGAAATATCTTGTTTATTATATTTCATCATTAATCTATCTCTTGTTATTAGCGTGAACAGACGTAATTATGAAACTTCTGAATGGAGTTTGGTGGAACATTCATACAGAGACGCTCTGAGGCGCTAAAAACTGGCGCCACTTTGGCAGAAAGCTCAAAACGAAACAAGACAAACATTTTTGTCAGATGACAAGGTGTCAGATAGGTCCGAATCTGTTGGAATAAACAATCTTTTACAATTACAACGACCTTTAGAGTGTTTTAATATGTTGTTTTATTCAGTATGAGCCGAAAAGTGCGGAACCAGTCTCCTGTTGGCGGGCGGCTGTTTAAAGATGCACCAGCAGCCGATTATTTAACTCATTGACAGTTACAGTAATGACATGTGGGAGGAAATAAAATACATCTAATACAAACTTAATCTAAAAAATGTAAGACGTCTTCTTTATGTCGGTTAATGAAGCATGTCTGACGGATTCCAGGTCACCAGATTTAATACAAAAATCAAGATTTTTAAACAATACGAAATTAAAAAATGCCTTGGAAGAATTTAAATAAATCTCGCTACTTTTACCTTTTCTGTATGATGCAGGAACACTGTCGGCTTTAGTCCTCACCATGTTGGCGGCGACCTTGTACAGTAAATCGATGATTCAGATAAAATTATACCGAGTAAAGAAAAGCGTCCCGCCTCCGTTTAAAACCATCTGCGGATGGGGCGGGAGATTTCTTCTTCTCTTCCGTTCATGGGACAACATGACGCGAGTCTGCGGCCCAGCGGTGTAGATGTGCTACAGCAGCTCTTAGAGTTTAAGCGGTAGAAAGAGCTCTTTAAACGTCTTTTTCTCACACCAAAAATCCATATGTCATCCTTCGCTGTATCCATACACCATCTTTGTGGTGCTTTCTTTTGCAGACTATTTGCACACAGAAATGCAAATAGTTTGGTAAACAAGTGAACTACCACGACGACAAACATTTCTTCGTATATTTATTATTCTATATAAAACTTACAAATCTTATGTAACCTAAAGTTCTGTTTAGAGATAACGACCATCCTAACAGCATGTACATGATTACGAGAAGATTAAATGGAAGAAGGACAGATATTTAATTTAAAAAAAGTCATCTTCAGATGGACTGAAGGGTCTGCGCGTTTGGTGTCCTTTCCCCTTCCAAGATGGCGGCCTCGCTGACGTGTTACTGCAGCTTAGACAGGCGACTGTGGGGTGTTTTATACCTCCTGGTGTTCCGTAGTGGCGGTTAGCGGCTGCAGGAGGATCGAAAACTAAACATATTCATCAGTTTTTGAGGATCCTCTTTACTTTCAGGGTTTGTATAACTTTCTTATCCAAAATCCTTTAAGATTCCGGAAAACTTTCATGTTGTTCACGACACTTTTCTGGCTTCTCGGGAACTTTAAACCTCCAGTAGCTCACAAACGTTAGCTAGTTAACGTTGACTAGTTGTAGCTGGGTTGGTCAGATTGATCAATATAAACCAACAAACTTTTAGTGTAATGGTTAAAAACTGATGTTTGCTGCGGGGAGATTTGTTATATTTGTTTGCATTTAAATTATTTTTTCAGCAAATTTAGTTTCGTTGTGATATAAACAAATAACACCTGAGTTTTTATATCCTCACCAAGAATCTGAAAACTACAATAAAACCTAATTATAATACAACATTCATGCATAGAGTGACTTGGAGTGCCTTATAAAATAAACATACTTTAAATAAAGCATACACGAAAAGACAATAATGAAAAAGACATGAATTGTTTTAATTTAAAGTTTCAATGAATTTATTTTCCAGCATTTCAACGTTTTTGGGGAGTTTTAGAAATAAAATTCTGCTCGACAGAGGAAAAAACTGAGAATTTTTCCAGAAACTCTGTTTTTAATGAGTTCAGTGATGAATGTGCACATCAAAGAGATCCTCTCTTCATCTTTGCTCTGCAGAGACTCAGCTGCTTTGGTACAAGTGAAGTTTATAGTTCAACTTCTGAACTTATAATTTCTCAAATTGTTGCTGCTATGTTTGCTTTAAATTACCGCATCTAAACTTCTCTGTAATATGTTAAAACCTCAGATGCTGGATTAGTTTTTAATGTGGAAAGTTCATGGGTT